CATCTTTTTATGTACTGATGATGGTTCTTGATCGAAACGTCTACATTATTATATTATAATGTTAAATATATGACTTTCGCTTAAAACATTTAGTGTTGTAGCTGTATGCTCTCTATTACTTATATTTTGTATTTTTAAGTCACCCCTAAAAAAGTTTAAATTTTAAAAGTTTATTGTTTGCTATCTAAACTTTTGTATTACTTTAAAGTTGAAACTGACGGAATAACCCCGCTCTACCCTAGCTAACGTTACACCTAGAAATTTTAAACTGACGAAGTTGACATTGTGATAATATTATTTTGAATACCTTTTTGGTTCGTATTCTAGGTCGAGTTTACATTGAACACGTAATACGAGTCAAGTCAGCCGTTAGTGACTATTTACTTGACATCGAACGCATTTGGTGATTTATTAACGTTACTTTAGTCTTATGGCAAGGCATACTCAGGCATACTACTTGTCGTAGTATCTTGGCAAACAAGAATATTTGGCTTTGTCGTGGCTTAAACAGTGCCTTTCCTAATTAAGTGTTATTTCCAAAAGCGAAGCTGATGAGTTGATTTGAGAACAGATAATCTAATAAGAAAAAAGCGATCCAATAATTTGGAAGTAGAGAACACAGAGGAAATCTTTTTCCGTAAGAGCACTATGACGTTTTTCATTTCGATAGAAGCTAACCGGAATACATTCGAGAGGAAGTGGACTATAATAAAGAATAGAGGCTTTGCAAGATGTAACGTTAGCTCGCATGTAATTTTGCACATCGTCAAAATAGAAAAGCCGTTGCAAACCCCCGCTCGATTTTTTTTCATTTGACGCATTTGAAATTAGCAGCTAGAGAGGAGAACTTTGATGTTTGAGTCGCTGGTATGTACGTTATCACGTTGCCGGTGGTCTTCGAGTAATTGCGTCGGTGGAAGGTCGCCTACGTGACGCCGACAGACGCTTCAGGGAAAAATGAGCGCGGCAGAAATTCGCAAGGAATTCGTCGTTTCTCTCTTGGACTGAATATTAATTTCTTTTTTACCTAACAATAAGTCGCTGAAACTACGACAACGTTGTATAAACTCGTAAAGAAATTCGATTTATTTCCGAAAATAGTGGTTAATTATTGAAAAAGCGTTTGCTCTGCCAGGAGAATCTCTGTTCGGCTGTTTTTTCCTATATGTTTCCTATATATATGTCTCCTTCAGAGAAAACATTATCAGAAAGAATGCATTGAAAGACCTCTTATAGGAAAGAACGCTGAAAGAAGCTCTTAAAGAAATTAACCTTTTCTCGTTTTAAAGAAATAAAAATTTAAAAATTAACACTTTAATTCTACTCTCGTTATGGCATACTCAGCTTAAAAAAAAATCTTTTTTGGAAAACTTTTGTTTACTTTATTACTTTAGTTTATGTAACATTTTTACAAAGTTACATACATTCGCTTGATATTGTTGCATTCCTTAATATCTTGATCGAAAAAATAAAATTTTATTTTCGTAAAAGTTATAAGTAATTGAAGTTGAGTTGAGTATGCACAGTGTATTGCATCTGTAACAAAATAGTATAATATTGCATTGAAGAGTTAAGACGTTAAGATAAATAACGCCAGATAAAAATCTGCAGTTGTCAATAAAACACCATGGCATCGATACGTAAATACGAATAATTCTTCATAAGATTCTTTCTCGTTGATCATCCACATAATTCAATTAGTCTTCTTAATTTAATAAATACATTTCCTAAAATGTGTATTGTTACGCGTTAATAAAGCCTTAGTCAACATGAGATAGACAGCGTGTAAGAAGATTTAAATGAAGATTCTCACTCATCGAGGTAACGTGTTTTAAACACACTCTTACGCAAACGAGTTCTGATATCGTTTGTTCTACGAGAAGAAAACTTTGGAGCTTATAGCTCAGAGCTCAGTTTACGCCACGTACTCTCTTTACGCAGAATAGACGCAATACATTGAACTGGTTTATACATAATATTAAATAAACTTAATAACATGTCGATATTATATATGATATTGAGAAGTTTCAAATGAAATTTAAATTATTTTATTGCATTTATTCCTAAAAAAATTCTTTTAAAATTATTTATTTTACTCCTCTATTATACATTTGTCCAATTTGTTTATGGATTAACTTATTAAATTACTCTTTTGAAGTTATTTAGAAAATTTATAAATCAAGGCCACAAAAAGGATTTCTATATTCAATGCTATTACTCCTCGATTTAGAATCAAATAAGGTCGATATAACAATCATATTTATTCTTTAGAGAAGAATATTTTATTTTTAAATGAAAAATTCTAAAATCTAGAATAAAATATTCCTGATGCTATGCCATTAATTTTCTTAATAGAAAAATTAAATTCAGACACAATATTCGTTTGAACACTAATCTAAAGGAAATATTTTGCTCTATTTTTGGAAAGAAGTTTGTAGAATGTTAGTAATGTTACATTTTTCGGCAACGAAGAACTGGACTTGACTGAGACTCGAACTCAGGATCTCTCGTTTCGTGTGTCTTAGCGCGCTATACCACGAGTTTCGCTGCCATGATATTATAGCATTATGTATATAATAATACTGGATAAAGACTTATTCTAAATATAAGAATATATATACTTAAATTTATATGTACACTTGTCTCAAGACAGCATATAGATCTTATTTTATTCAGTGCAATAGAATAAAAATTACTGATTTAATCTTAATATACGTAGTTATAATTTTATATTGTATAGAGTTGAGCTAAGATTAAGTACGTTATAAATTTTTTTTCTGAGTATCAGAAATCCTGAGTTATATTCTTAAATTTGCAGTAAATAATTTGTATAAAAAATATAAGATGGTACATATTAGAAAAATAAAATAAATATATGTATATATTATCAAATCTTTACTTATCAGTTTTAGGATATGATTATTGAAACATAATTTTTAAATAAATTTTGTCGGCTATTCACTGTTTTAAATCTGAATTTGTTTTCTAAATATATATAATAATAAGATAGAAATTACTTAAAAAATATTTATTAATTTTACGCTATTTTTACCATCTGTGTATATCAAATCATTATTCAGATGATTTGAGTTGATATACATATTAATATTTCTAAACAGAAACGTTTTTAACATTGACAGAAATTATTCAGATTCTCACAACAAAATAGAGAAATTTCAGGATCGGCGAACCTATTTACTCACATTAAGTATTATCGATTCGCTTCATGACATAGTAGGGTGATCTATATCGCGTCTCAAATAGCCAGATGCGTTCCAACCGATTCTCATCCACTACAAGTAGAATTAGGTGATCAATACTTAACTGTTCCGTTAAAGATTTGAATATTATCTTGAATTGAATATTATCATATTGAAGATTTGAATATTATCTTGAAGAATTGAGTATTATTATATTGAATAAATCGATTAGTTTATACATTTCTAGTATATCAAACATATGATTAAATAACTTCTCACATTCATAACGATGCGCTATGCACAGTGCTAAAAAATTAAAAAATATACAGACGAAGTATAAAAAATGTTTAAAGATCTGCATGTTTTCTGAGAAAGTTCCAATTTTTTTACCAATTTTTATATATATACACACACACACATAATATTATTCAACTTTCTAGCTTGGAAAAATAATAAATAAATCGATTTTTTTAAATAATCATTTTTTTTAAATACAATGAATTCTTATTAAACTCTTATTAAATATGAGGACTATTTATTGTTGTCGTTATTTGCTTGTTAGGTATGAGATTTACACCAGAGGATAACGATTTTTAATACTGTTAACTTTTAAGAAGTTAAAATTACACTCAAATTATAAGAAGTTTCCAAAGATTAAAAGATTAATTATAGATTAAATTAAAGATAATTGTGATGTTTAAAAGAGTAGTTGAAAAGGATTTCCCCTTTTTATGATAATAATTTTAAAACTGCTTTAGAAAGATAATATTTAGTTTCTTTGTTATTTTAAATTTATTTTTAATTTGGGTTTTATTATATATTTATATGCATATAATAAAGCCCAATATCAGAATTAAAAATATTTTTTTTGATTATAAATATTTTATATAAAAGATATATTATTTTATTTTTGTGAGTGAGTGAAATAAATATTTTATTCTTATTTTGTTTATTTCCCTATAAATAGAGATTAAAAAAAATAAATTAGGACCTTATTTGATTCAGGTATCTAATAAGTAAATCTAAAATATGTATTTTACAATTCGAAACTTATTATATTGAGAAAATATATAGATTGAAACTGACACAATCGCTCTTGTTCAAACATTAAGTTAATTGAGCGTATTATATAATTAATGCAATCAATATGTAGTTAATTTAATAGGTATGATTATTAATACAGTTGTAATGACAAAATGCGTTGTTACATCAACACAATAGTTTCTGATTGTTAACAAATTATTAACGATGTTCTTTGTAATATATGTTTGCATCGTATTAAATCTTTTTTCTGTAATTGTTCTGTATGTGTTAGTATTAATTTCTTCAAATAATATTAATATTTACCTAGCCGAAGGAAATCTTAATAACTCTGAATCTTTATAAAAATGTTCTACTATTATTTTACAAAAATAATCTCGATATACAAATTCGAAAGTCATATTTAAAATATTCGATTAAATAGTATTTTCGCTGAATAAAGAAAATATCGTCATTAGGACCTATACTACCGCATAGATTAGGTAAAATCTACGACATAATTAAATTAGCTGCAACAAGAGAGCAATAGTAAAAGTCATGTTTAAAAAAGGGTTTTTGAGTATCAACGATCTAATATTTCACCGTTTTTTTTTTCTCTCTCACGCGAATGAGGTCTCGATTTTAATTTGCGTCATAGCACAAAGACATTCTCGAAGACGCGTAGTGAAAAGCAAGAATTGTATTCGCCAAATAACACTCATGTTACATTATTCGATTGCAGAGTGCTGGTGAATGAAGGCACAAGGAACGCATACGGAGGGCGACGACGCCCTTGAGGCTTGAACGGGGAAAATATGGTGCACGAGGGCACGGGTCTATGGCACGCGGCGGGATTCAACGTATCGAAGTGGCTGATGATCATAATACATGGATACCGGGTCACCACCCTCGTCCTGTACATCCTGCTCAACGTACTGGTGCGCACCGGTAAGTACAACCACCTTCCGGTTTTCCCTAGTAAAGTATGTTTTTACGGGAAATTATTGTTTGCGCACGCTTCGTCCGTCGTCAAAGCCGAGCGGATTCCGGCGTTGCGTAAAGTAAAAGTAGAGGCAGCTTCGAGCGCTATTTGTATTGACTACCTTTTTTTTTTGTTTTAGCTACTTGATATTCGCATATTCTTCCGAAAGTTTGTTTTGGAAATACCACACTTCTTTTAGTTTGAACATATTGGATTAAAATTTATTTATAGGTCAATAACTACTCGAACATTATTGTAATAATAACAATGATAATGAAAAAGAAATCAGAATTTGTTATCGATGGAAAGAGAGGTCTCCTATCGATTTCCATTAAATAATTCTTGGTAATTATTTAATGGATGATCTGGATTTTAACATATGTTGTCAAGATCATGATCTTGAGTGACCTTCAAAAGGTTTCAGATGGCGGTCATTGTTCATTCAAAAGTTATTATAAAAATTTTATTCAAAAGTTATTAGTATTTGAATAAAAAATTACTGAAAATCAATATTCAGCGATTTTCAGTAATTAATATCTTGTTAACTATTGCGAAAATTGCAAAATGGTAGAGGATTCAATTTAGTCTATTCTGTCGCTATACGAGAATTTTATCGTTAATTATCAGACACCCTGTATATATATATATAATATATAAAGGTGACAACATTTAAGAGTAAATTCCTGAGATTATTTGGAGACAAAAATTCTAATATCAAAATGTCAATGCTACAATTTTTTAATTATAAGCATTTAAAGTTATCAAATCATACTGCTTTAAGTTCGCATATGACACAACGGAAAATTTAATCGTAGTTGATCTATCTAAGTGCGCGAATTTCATGCGATATGGTTCTCGATAACTTTAAATGCTTATTTTTGAAAACTATTATAGCCTCGACATTTTAATATTAGAATTTTTGTTTCAAAATGCTGTTAAAAACCAATTCTTAATCGTTGTTACGGTCTTTATTGGACATATGTATAAAACTCATAAGTTCTACATATATTCCTTGTATATATGTATAAAATTCATAAGTTCTGTCAGTCATATACAGCTTTTGGGTTACTTTATATTTATAGAGAATGATTCTTTTTTTTTCTTCCAAAGAATTTTACGAGTTTTTATTCATGTAATATATATGACTACATTTACACAGATACTCTTAATTGGGTTTAATAACATAGTTAAAAACTAACCAATCACAATCATTCCGTTCTTTAGAGGAATAAGCATGATTGGCCATTTTGATAACTACGAATGTTATTAAACCAGATTAAAACTATGTTCCAAAATTGACTGCCTGTACTGAAAATTTATAGTGCGTAAACTGTAGCATTTTCAGCGCTGGCAGTAAATTTGGAACACAGCCTAAGAGTGTCCATGTAAATGTAATCTATATTTGGCTGAAACATTTATATTCCTTATCTTGTAACTTCATACAAATAATTTCTATTTATGCAGTTATATAGCCGTATTAGTATAATTAAAAGTGTAAGAAATATATTTCATAGAGATGTATTTCGATATTATTAATACATTATTTATCTACATTTTTAGCATACAGCCATATATTTTTTCTCTAAAAATGGCTTAAAGTTGAACCAAAACAGTATAAATAAATTATTAAGTTATGTAAATTCAGGTGTTAGTACATTATTTATTAATCACCACTTATCATGCTACTTTTACTTTTACCAGTCATTTCAAAATTATTAATTCATTACTTTTTCGAGAATCCCATATACTTTCAATTAATATTTTATTAACAGTTATAAATAATTATGTGCCTGTGACCTGTAAGAGTTAATAATTATTCGCATTTAATGAGAGTTTAACAAAATCTCGTTTAAAATTCAAGTATATCTATCTTGTTTATCTCTCGAATGTTATAGCAATAACGATAAATCGATGTTGACCCTCCAAGCACACGCATGATATGACGATACATCATAGTTTACCACTCAAAGGATTAATGCATTTAAATTACGTCCTAGTATGCGCAGATATATCGCTGCATATCGATACGAGTATTAAAAGTAATCTAGTTGCATGCGTGCGTTCGTCATATTATATATGTTTTATGAATTCGATATAACATCATTCGTAAACAAAATATGTTAACATACTTGCCACTCAACCGCACTTGCGGTAAAATTTATAAAGATATTTATTTTAACATCAATATCAAACACGTGTTATTAATAAAATTTAATCAATAAAATTATTCTTTAAACTTTTGCAACATTTCTTTTTGAAGAAAAATCTCATATATTAGTGATAACAATCTGTGTTTTAAAATCTCTATTATTCATTTAAAAGAAACACATGTTATATTGCAATATATAAATATTACAATAAAGTATGAATTCGAAATTTAAATTTTGTTTATCCAAATATTTGTTACAAAATTGCTATGAAAAATGAATCTTATTCCAATGGCGTTTCAAAATGCAACGTTAAGAAACAAGAATACTATAATATATATGCAAAGCACATATAAACTGATATATAACTGTATATAAATATACATATATACTACATATAATATGAGAAAGGTATTCCGAGCATTCGCATCATATAAAAATTACATTAAAAATGCAAAATTCCATGCACGCTGTACTATTACAAATATAAAAATATAACTATCATATGACGTTATTCTAATTCGGAAATAGCAGTTGACGTATTATTAACACTTGGTGAATGTATAATAGAAGAAATGTTCGTGAAGCTCTAATCTGTATATACCGACAGTTTTTACAAATGTCTATATTTTTAGTTAGAAATAGAACAATAAAGTAGAATAAATGCTACAATTTTTAATATAAATTTAAAAATTTATATATTATAAAAATGACATATCCGTTAATGCATTTAATTCGTCATTTAATATCCTCTTTACAATATCGTAAAAAATCATGCAGTGTTATTGAATCGAATATTATTCAAGACGAATGTCTTATATTGGTATTACTTTTTTTTATTTTATAAATTTCGTAATCGATTTTTATAAAATTTGAGTTTTGAATTACTCCTAATGTTTTCGTCAAATATGAAATAAAAAAATTATGAATTTTTAAATATAGGATGAATCTAGTTTGGCGGATGTTTAAATGTTTAAAAAATGGAAAACTCGTTATAGTTTTGAAAAATAATATGCTATCCCGTATCTGAAAAATTTTGGATTTAGCAATAATCCCACACGAATCCATTTCTATATATTTTAATTCCCAAGGAATTGCTGACAGTGCTAGCATCGCAGCCAATACGATGGCAAGAATCTAATACATCTAGCAATCCAGCAAGTAAACAAACATCGTGTGTTGCCGGCTTAATATATTAGTCTTATGCAAATCTGAAGATCAGGAAGAAAGTGTTGCCGGAAGTGTTGTGTATCTTTTTCTCTCATTTTTTGTACATATTGTGTATAAATATGCATATGATTTTTTTTACAAAGTTATACCGTTTTAAGAAAAGTGTTACAAAACGAACAATTTTTTCTTGTATATTTAATATAACTCCGAAACAAATTATTATTGGAAACTTTATTAAAAATGAAATTAAAATGTGAATTGTAAATCTTAAAGCTTTTAAAGTTGGTGTAAGTATGTGCGTGTACCTATACTTGAGTGTGTTCTACTTTTGGCGTTACCCATGATCAACGACGTGGCAAGAATCTAATTTTGTGTGTGTGTGTGTGTGTGTGTATGTGTGTATGTGTGTTTAATAACGTGTATTGTCTCCTCGTATTTATCAACGTTTTTCCTGCGTAACGCTCTGCAGGAGGAATGACATAATTTAAGACAAGAAGAAATAAGACATTTAGGGACTTATTCTGTAATCCTCATGATATTGTTACATTGTCATTGCGCAGATTTTGTATATGGTAAAAAAGTAGCTCAACGACAATATAACGATATCGTTACAGTCATTAAGAGTTACAGAATAAGCCCCTTAATTAACAATATGTGAGAGATGGAAGGAAATGAAGAAGGGAATGGACGTATGTGGGGAGGAAGAGGAGACTCGGGTAATTGATTATATAATGGAAGATGAGAGGGTGGGAATAAGTATAAGCCGGTATTCATAGTTAGATCTTACATTCAAGACCGTGCATTTAAGACCGATCTTAAATACGGTCTCAAGTAAAGTCTCAAACAAATAAGAGGGCTGCATTAGCGTCTTAAGACATTACTTAAGACGGTCTTGAAATAAGAATCGACTATGAATACCATAGTATATATATATATATATATTTTGGAAATTGTTTTAACTACATATCTTATTTGTTCAGTTATTTCATATTTAGATGTTATTTATATTCATTTTAGATGTTATTTATATTCAATAACAAGAAAAATTAATTAGATATTATTTAAGTGAGCAGAGTACGTATTAGGCAACTCATCTCTATATGTATCGATATAGACGAAGTTTAATATAAATCGTTATGTAATCATAGAAATATTATGTCTATTGCAAATATTGTAGCAATTTTCCGTAGAGATACACTCCACTATACAAAAACGAGTGAGGTGCGAAAAGCTTAATGGATCGATCACCATCCGTCACGAATGTTTAATAGAATCGTGGCGCAACGTAGCGAGGAGTTGCGAATTACTTTATCTTGAAAGATAAAAAGTCGGGACGTGAAAGATTAATCGGCGCGCCAACGCGCGACACGCTTCTTCATCAAACGAAGTGTGTATTCATCTTCGAAAACTGTCGCGAGTCGGCACCTATATGAGCGTATTTGCCATTCAAATGAGCGGTGGGACGTATCGATAGAAGTTCTTAAGTGTATAAACGATTGCGGGGAAGAGCTCGGTTGAGGCGATAAAGCGACGGTCGACCGCAAAGTTGGAAGACATTTCGCCTCGAGCACTGCACTGTCGTGCTCGCTGGTAATGAGGGGAGGGGCCGGGATCATCAATAACGTAGCGAGTTCACCAACAATTAATTA